CGCGCGGCACACTCTTGGCTGGGTCCGCCCTGCCGTAGACCATGGCGAGGGTGCTGGTGCGGCACTTGCCTGGGCCTCGGCCCACGGCCGCACGGGATGCCTGCCTCAGCCTGGGGATCTCGTAGTGCGGCAGGCCGTGCACCTGGTGGCCGTAGATGCCCTCGGCGCTCGCTCCAGTCGTCCAGAGGCCCTTGGTGACCGCCTTGAGCCTCGCCATCTTCCTGAGACGCTTGATGGCGCGGGCCCTCTTGGCAGCCCTCCTGCATCCTCTGCAGGCGAGCCGCGCTGCATGGTGGGGGGCCCGCCGTGATGCATCGAATCGGCTGGACCTCCGCGCCGACCCACTGCCTCTCCTTCAACAGCCTCATGGCCAGGAACCCTCCTTCAACAGCCTTCCTTCAACAGCATCTCCTTCAACAGCCTCTCCTTCAACCCTCTGGGCCACTGCCTTCCTTCAACAGCCTCTCCTTCGACAGCCTCTGGCTCCGAGCAGAGCACGATGGGTGGGGAGCCCTGTGCCAGCGCGTGCTGGACCAGCCTCGGGATGCCGATGCTGTCGAAGAACTTCGCCAGGTCGAGCAGCGCGATTGCCGTGACGACGCCGAGCTCCGCGGCGGTCTCGTCAAGGGTGGCGCGGGGGAGCGAGGCTGGTAGGGCCGACGACCCACGTGTGGCCGCATCCCAGAACTCGTTGAGGAGGGGTTGATCACGCCCTGCCTGCCCATCGGTGGGCAGCCCCTGGATCTCTATGGGGCCGATGTCGTCGATGCCCTTGGTCTTGCTGGCTCCGAGGGCGCGGGGCAGGGAAGACAGCTGGCTGAGCGCCAGCGGGGCGAGGGGCTCCTGCCGCGCGCGGCCCATGACCATGTGGATGCCATCCTGGAGCTGCTCCCGGGCGACGCTGTCGTCGGCCCAGCGCCTCTCCCGCTCGTCCGCCCTGCCGCGCATGAGCTGGTCGGGGGCCGCCACTGTGCGCCACTCCTGCTGCTTCTCTGTGGTCTCTGGCCTGGGCGGCCTGGCCATGTTGTGGAGGTGCCGCCGAGCGTCCTTCCACATCTCCAGGGCCCAGCTCCAGAACGACTTCCTGGACTTGGCGAGCGCCAGGGCGACGGCCCTCGACTGGTACCGTGCCGCGATCAGGATGATGGGGGCCACGTCGTCGTCTGGGAGGTCTTGGAGCCTCTACGCGGCATCCTTCCAGTGGCCGAAGTCGCTCCCCTCGTCAGTGTGTCGTCGGCCTTCTGCATCGGATTGGCGGTCTTGCTGCTGCAGCTCTGCGCCTCGCGGGTCCTCCCCGTGCGTCGTAGCATCTCGCGCGCCGCTGACCGCAGCTCGGCTGGGATGTGGAAGGCGGTGGTCGGCGCAGACGTTGCATCCACAGGCTTGTCCACCTCGTCGTGGATCTCGTCGAAGTCTTCCTGGGGGCCTTCCTGCAGCCTCGCTCTTCTCTCGTCTCTGGCTTTCTACATGGCCTTCTGCCGCCTGCTGTTGGGGTCCGCCGTCTCCTTGGGCCTGGGGACTGTCGGGTGCACGTGCGAAATGTCGAGCTTGCGGTGCCACCAGTGCTGCTTGTCGTCGGCTATCGTGAGCTTCAGGCCTACAACCTCATGCTGGCCGCCGTTCCCTTGGCGACAATGGCATAATCGATGACGCTGCCTGCTCCTCTATTGCACGTGGCTGTGCAGTTATCCGCCGTGAGTCTCTCCACTTCGAGCCTGGTGAGCCTCTGAGTCTTGTCCCACTCCTCGAGCGCGACGCTCCAGTCGCCCAGGATGACCCGTGGGTCCCTCGGCTGACAGAGGAAGGCTGCGAGCCTGCCGAGGGCCTGCTGGTCGGCGTCTCTGAAGCCGAACTGCGGCTGGAGATAGGCGCTGATGACGATAAGGTTGCCCGACCTGAGGTGCTAGCACGACGTGGGGCAGAATCCAGCGAATGGGTCTTGTCTAGATGCATTTCTGGATGCTTCCCTCCAGGCCTCGAAAGATGTGGTCTGGATCTGCTTCTTGGCGAGGATCCATTCTCCTCCCGTCGCTCCTGCCGCTGATCGTCCAGTGGGCCGCGCAGCCGTCGCCGCAAGCTTCCAGCCGTCTCGTGACAGGTCCGCGCGCGCCTTGTCGACTGCCTCCTCGTTCGCGTGGGACTCCACCATGCCGGCGATGTCGTACTGGTCCGCCTGCGCCCTCATGAACCCTCTGGCCTGCTTGCCCCGCTCGGTGATGTTCGCGAACAAGGCCGTTGCGTCCTTGGTTCTTGGCCTTGCGGCCTTGTGGTTGCTGCCTGCCTCCTGTCTGAGGGCATCTGCAGTCTGGGCCCATACGCCGGCGGGGGGGTCTGTCTCGTTGGGAAGACTCCCGCGGGGCGCCAGGTTGGCCCGCTGCTGGGGAGGAGCCGCTGCTGCCGCCATGTTGGGACGCAGGTGCAGTGGGAGCAGCAGGAGCAGCCGCTGCCTCAGAGCCAGGGATGGAGGCTGCCTGTGCCGACTTCGAGGGCCACGGGGGGAGGCGGCTGCGGGCAGCGTCGATGGACTCCTGGAGGGTCGCTGCGAGCATGTCGGGATCGGGGTCGTGCAGGCCTGGGACCTCCCGGTCCTCCGCGGCAGGGGCCTCCATGACCGTATCCTCGGCGCCCTGGGACGGGTCCGCTGGGTGTGGAGAGTCCACCCTCGCCCTCTTGGGCGGCTTGTCCCTGATCTTCTCAATCTTGGCCCACAGCTCCCTGGCCTTGGCGTCCTCCGCGGCCATGACCTGGTGGTAGGCGTCGAGAGTGGCGCAGTGGGCCTCGAGCTCCTTCCTCTCCTCGTCGTCGAGCTTGTCGAGGTCCTGTTTGAGGAGGGACATATCGAAGGCGAAGATGACATTCTTGCCGTCACTGGTGGTGGCGTTCTCTGCCTGCCCGCGGTCTGCAGTCGTGGTGGAGAGCGTCTGGACCGCCAGGGCGTGGTCCTGCTTCGCCTTGAGCATCTCTTGGCCAGCGTGGAGATGGGCCTCCTCGGCCTGCTTCGCGACCTCCTCCGCCTTGACGAGGGTGTCCGCTGCCTTCTGGAACGACGCTGTCTTGAGTTCGAGGATGCGGGCCGTGGATTGGACCTGCTGCGTGGGGGTCTTCGTCTTGGTCTCGGGGACCCTCTTGGCAGCGAGGTTCTTCTTGGCCAGCTCGATGGCGTCGTTCGGAAGGATGGAGGTGAGCATCTCGAGCGCCTTCTTGCGATTCTCTGCCTCCTGCTGCTCGGTGTAGCTGTCGCTGCTGCCCTTGCCGTTGCCGCTGCCCCAGCGGCGGGCCTTGGCCTCGCGCCACGGGGGCTTGGCAGGCTGATGCTCCTCGCCGCCCGCAGTGCCCGCACGGCCCTTCTGGTACGGCTGCAGCTTCACACCGCACTTGATGCACTTGCAGTTGTTTCGGTCCAGCCTGAAGTTGAACGCCCACTGTCCACATGCACACACCGTGAATAGCTGTTTCGCCCTGCCACTCGCATACCCCATGGTGACTCGTGGAAGCGGGAGTCCGACAAGCGCTGGCGGTCGGTGGACTGAAACTCTTGGCCCCAGCAGTGCGCAGCTCGACTGGGGTTGCCTCAAGCGGAAGCTGGCCTTGGACTAGAGGTATCCACGTTCTGTCCGAGGGACGAAGGCATCTTGAGCCAAAATGGCTACGGAGAAGGAGGATGAGGAGGGGGAGGAGGAGAACCACAAGCCCCTCCTCTGCGCCGAGGCACCATCCACGTGAACCTTGTCCGCGGGGACGAGACTCCTTTGCTCGCCTCGGCGCTGCTTCGAGGATCCGGCTTTCGTGCCAGGGGCAAAGTGGGCAGTCCAGGGGAGGAGCACGTGTTAGCGACAACGGTCCCCTTTCCCGGGACAGGCTCAAAGGGGAACGCATCGACCCCCAATCGCCCGTTCATCGCCAAGAGGGGCCCGATGGCCCACCCCGCCCAGGAATGTGCGGATTAGCTATCGAGGGTTCATCTCCTATCTAGCGGCGATGTGTCGCCGATTCCGGGTCGATGCTTCCACCCCTAGTCCCCCCTAACGTTGCCTCTCAACCTGGGGGGGGGGTGCAGCGATGGGATAATGGGAGGCAGCGGAAACGGGAGCGGTAACGATCGATATGTTGGAAGGGCGCGTTGGGCCCAATCGGCAGCGACTCGCGAGGGGTCCGGCGGCCGGAAGCAACTGACGAGCGTGGCAGCGTGAAATAGGGAACACGGAGAGGCAAGGCGTCCAGGCGCACTTGGGCCGTCTTGGGGGCCTCTGGACCGTCTTGAGGGCCTCTTGATACCCTCCTGGCCCGTCTTGGGGCCCTCTGGCCTCAGTGAGAGTCCTGCGGGAAGCCCCAAGGCTCTTGCAGCAAGCCCGAGATCGTCCAAGAGAGCCTGGGACTGGGTGCTGCGTCCTGAAAGTATTCTATAATAGTCTTCGGCCCATTCCGCCACCGTGCCTGGATTACGGGTGAGAGGTGAGAGGCCGCTGGGATGGCGGGAGGCCTCTCGGGGGCGTCTTGGCGGCAGCTTTGGGGCCTCTTGGGGGCTTCCTGGGAGCCCATTGGGGGCCTCTTGGGGCCCTCCGTGGGCCTCTTGCGGACCTCTTGGGGCCTCTTGGGCCTTTGGGGCATCCTGTGAGCATCTTGTTGCCACCTGGGGCCGTCTTGGGGGCCCTCTGGACCGACTTAACGACCTCTTGGCACCCTGTTGGGCGGTCTTGGGACCCTCCGGCTTCAATGGAAGTCCTGCGGGAAGCCACAAGGCTCTTGCGACAAGCCCCGAGATCGCCCAAGAGCGCCTGGAATTTGGTGCTGCGGGCCCTTGGAAGTGTTCTATGTTTACTGGCCTTCGGCCCATCCCGCCACCGTGCCGGGATAGCGGGTTAGAGGCCGCTGGGATGGCTGATGGGGTCTCGTGGGAGGCCTCTCTGGGGCGTCCTAGAGGCAGTTCTTGGGCCTATTGGGGGCCGCCTAGGAGCGTCTTGGGGCCGAAGGCTCGAAATGCTTGTTTGTTGTTTCCCCTCTGGGCCCCCTCTTGGGCCCGTCCAGGGGCGTTGGGGTCTCTTGGGCCGTCTTGGGGGCCTTCTCGGGGCGATCTTGGGGGGGCCTCTGGGGGGCCCCTCGGAGCGTCTTGGAGGCCTCTTGGGCCATCTTCGGGCCGTCTGGGGCGTCTTGGAGCGATCCTCAATGCGCCTCGAGGCCCTCCTTGACCATCCGAAGGGGTTTCGTGCGGCTCTTTTTTCGCCCGTCTCGGGGCCCTCCCGGGCCCCAACGAGTCCGGCGTGGAGGTGCCCAAACCCACAAGGGGGGCACGCACGAAGCCCAAGACGATTCGGCAACTGGGGGCCCCTGCCCTCCGAAGCTTCCTCCGGCGAGCTGCAGAGCACAGCAGGGGACCTGAGGACACGCCATTAATTAACTAATTTAACTAATTAGCTAATTTGGGCTTCACTAATTAATTTTTTCCGGCTTCATTAATTAACTAATTTGGGCTGCGCGTCATTGGCGCGCCGGCAGAGGCAAGGCCACCAGAACGCCTACCTCTTTTCACCCTTTACCTGAGGACACGCCCACTCCGTGCCCAAGGGCGCGGTGGCGGATTCGACACGGAGGACACTGACGGACATGAGGGCATGCGATTCATTGCCCGCAGCACGGTGGCGTAAAGCCATACTGCCAGCACGTGCAGTACATGTAAGAATGGGGAGGGCGAGAGAGAAAAACATATATCTATATATATAGAGAGAGAGAGAGAGAGAGACCGTGAAAGAGCGCGCGAGAAGTTGAGGTACGGCCACCTGTAACTTAACGTTAAATAAGGTATGGACAAAGAGAGTGAGAGAGCGAACGCCCATACACATATGTATGAACACGTATACATATGCGCAGGTGGGGGGACATGGTTTCGATCAGCTGCATGTGTGCATGCCCATGTGTGCTTCTAGTGGAGATGCGTGGTGTAAGCTCATTCAACTTCATGTATGTGTACGTAGGTGTGAACAACTCCGTTTACGCATATATGTACAACTGTACATATAAATTGTAATACGTGCAGGTGGTTAGGCGTTTGTGCAAGTTCGCGTGCAGCTGGTATGTATATACATATATGTGCGAGAACAAGCAGCATCCATATACCTGAAGAGGCAGCGTGGTGGTGTATGGTTATATCTATGAACGAGGTACGTGCGCACATACATGTATTCCCAGACGTACATCGACATACATGTGTACACATACACGTGTACACATACAGGTGTCTGTATGCATTTCCAAGTAAGTATATGAAGGGGAGGAGAGCGGATAAGAAGATATGTCCTGGAGGCCTAAAACGATTCCAATTGTGTGTACATGTTCCTCACGCTTCAGCCAAATATGACCCCAGGGTGGAGACTTCGGAGGGGGCTCTAGAGGCCACCGGCCAACACAGAGAGGGTCTTGTGCGTTCGTTATTAGTCTGAGATCGTCACCAACACGTCCACAAGAAAGCTCCACCTGGATTCCAAGAGGGCCGCACATGCCCAAACAAGGCGCCAAGGAAACCCAGGACCGCTCCAAAATACATGATTCGGCGTCGAGGGGGGGAGTGACAAGGAGAAGGCCTTCTCAGAAGGTGGCGGGGCTTCTCAGAAGCCCTCTCTCCCTGCGAGATTATTTTGGGGCGTCTTCGAGGAAGGCTTTTAGAGACTTTCTCAGAAGGCCCAGGGCCTTCCGAGCCCTCTGCGAAGGCCCGTCCCTCGCTCGCCTCCACCCCACACGCTCGCCGCCCAGCCTCGCCCCTCCCATCCCCCGTTCTCATCGATTTTCCTCGGTCCTCCTGGCAGCCAGCGTGGTCCCAAACACGGTCCCAAGATCCTCCCTTCGCAGCCAGCGTGGTCCCAAGCATCTTCGCGCTTCGCGATCATCTTCGCGCTTTCGCGCCGCGCCCCTCCCCGCCTAGAGCAGGATGAGGGACTCGCGCCTCGCTCTGAAATCGCACAGACCGCGAGGCGCGAGGCGCGACGAACTTACTTCGCACTTTGATCGCCGGGCTTCTCGTCCGTCCAGGCGCATGGGGTGCCCTCGACGACGGCGGGCCCGGCCTGCCAGCCCGTGCGCCGCCGGGGCGCACTGCTGACAGCGCGGGGCCGAGGGCCGCCGGGCGGTCCACGCCACGGCTGGACCCAAGCGGTGTTTTTGGCTATTTTTTGGGGCCGTTTTCGTTTCGACTTCGTTTTGCAGTGGAGGCGGCTTCGAGGCAAAAGCGAGGGAGAACGAAAACAAAACGAGAGCGAAAAGCACCGTTTAGGGTCAGCCTTGGTCCACGCGCGTGAGGGTCGCTCGACAGTTCGCCACACTGTCAGGCCAGACCCCCTCGCGCTGTGAAAAAATCACAACGTCAGGGGTCTGCGAAGCATGAACACTTCCGTTGCGCCCTCGGAGGGAACTATTGCAGTGGGGTTGACTGTCAGCAAGGGGGAGGGGGGGCGGCCAGAGGGATGATTTTCGGGCCCCACTGGGTGCGTTTCGGCGCGAACTCGGCGGGATAATGGACAGCCGGGGCTGACTATCAGCAGGGGGGGCTTCAAGCAGAGGGGCCTCTTCTTTGACAGCGGGGCTGACCGGCAGCAGGGAGGAGTGCAAGCAGTGCCCGAGTGCGCTCAGGAAAGTGGGGCCCATTGTGCCCGAAGTCATCCGAACGATGCTTTTGGTTTGGCAGTGGACCCCAGCTGTCAATGTGTCCAGCAAGGTCCATACTATCCCCATCCTATCTCTCAAAACTAGGCCCCGAGGAGGGGGATGAGGGAGGGGGATGGGAACATGTCATACGCCGATGACTTCCCCAGGGGTCGGCGAACTTGGCAGAGACGTGCCGACATGATTGCAGATATTTGTCTGTCGCGGACCCGGCGAGTCTGCGGGTCGGTCGAGCGGCCAGAACAAATTGTAAACATCCGAGCGCAGACGATTATTCAGGCAGCCACATTCATGCGGCTACGCAGGCACGCATGCATCTTCTCACATTTACCCGTTCACGGACAAGCGTTCAAGTAAACACGTACGCGCATTTGTCACGCAAATGATGTGCACATGTACATGTATAGACGCTGTTTGTACGGTCGTAGATGTGCAGGCAAGACAACATTTGAACGTGTTGGGCACCGACGTAATGAAGCAGACGATGTTTGTCATATCTAAACGCGGGGGTTGGCAAAGGTTGTCCGAGCAGAGCAAACTGACATACACGTGTCCTCACGAATACATTACAACCGTTGTATTTTTGTATGCATGCACATATGCGATCTCGCATGCATAACTACACCATCGTATCGGCATACGTTGGTGCACATGGACATGACTAGATCCACGCTTATGCTTACGCCGAAGCGCTGGTTCGTGCACGCACGCATGCGCCTACGTGCGCGCAGAAGAATGGCAAATAACTTTGGACGCATGTTGGCTCGGGCCGAATAAAGAAATCAGATTTTCCCAGTCATGATGGCGAGCAAGTCCAACTCCCCGTCGCCGCAGCTGGCCGTGCTGCGCGCCCTGGAGGCCAACGACGATGTGCGCCACTCGATGCCGCAGTGGGGCTCCGAGGGGACGAAGAGGACAGGCGCCCGCAAGAGCCTATTGTTTGACGTGGCTCTACATGTGTCGTCTTGGGCATCCTCGTTTATTCCCCAAACAGAGCTTGCACTTACGGATTTCTCACTTGTGTTCTGAGGTAATTGGGCCCCGGTGTCGTTCCGCCGGCTCGTCGCCGCCCGTCGCCGCTCGTCGCCGCCAGGCCTCAGTGACGTTCCCGCCAGCTCGTCTCTGGCCGTCGCCGCGCTGTTTTGCATTACATTGCTTTGCATGGCTTTGCATCGCTTTGCATTGCTTTACATTGCTTTGCATTGCTTTGCATTGCTTCGCTTTGTTTTGCATTGTGTTGCGTTGCTTTGCGTTGCTTTGCATTGCTTTCTGTTGCTTTGCATTGCATTGCTTTGAATGGTTTTGCGTTGCTTTGCAATGCTTTGCAGTGCTTTTCATTTCGTTGCATTGTCTTGGGCGGCTTTGCATTGCTTTGCATTGTAATCCTTTTCATTTGTTTTCGTTGCTTTGATTTGCATGCTTCGCATTGGTTTGCATATGTGTTGCATTGGTTGCATTGCATTCCGTTATTTTGCAATGCGTTGTTTTAAAGTGTTGTGCACTGCCTTTCATTGCCTGGCATTGCCTGGCATTGGCTTGCGCTGCTTTGTATTACATAGACTTCAACACAGGGATTGCACTACCTACACTGCCGCATTGGTTGCAAGACATCACTATTTGGGGCCTACGCTGGTTTACATTTGTTGTAGTTGAACCCAAAGTAGTTAAGATTTCGATCCTTACGGGCCAGTTCAACTCGCTCTGGTGACCTGATCATTTCATTCCGTGAGAATGTGTCTTGTCATCGATTGGTCTCTCCGGAAATTATGTTCTGTAATTGCTGCAAGCTCTCCGTTGTTTTGGTCGATGGTGAACACATGATGGGACATGGGTTCCAGCACCCTTTGCTACACACGTCCTACCCGACGGTAGGGGGAAACAATGAGTGGACATTCCCCCGCTCCCCCGAACTCAAAGTTGGCACGCGCGGGGGAGACTGCGGTCGAAGTGCAGCTCGTCAGACCCTCGTTTTGGGCAGGGCTCGACCTAAACGATATTTGGGCGATTTCGTGATTCGTTTTCGTTTTGATTGTGTTTTCCAGTAAAGGCGAAACGATGACAAAACGAGGGACTCGAAAACACAACGGAAGTGAAAAGCGCGGTTTAGGTCGATCCCTAGTTTGGGGGAATTGAACCTAGCCTGGGGAGTTTCTTTGGTTTTGTGCCCCTCGCGCCGAGCCATGCTCGACCATCGGAGTCTGCGCCACGAAGGCGCGGTTCGGGAAACCCTCAAGAGGACCGGGCAGTTGCTGGGTGGAAGCGCTCCAGAGCGCGCCGTGGTCACCAGTAAATCGAGCATTCTACCAAGGTCGGGGCTCAAGAGAGGGGGGTGAATGCAAACGGGGGTCAGTCACAGCGCTGGATCTTGCAGGATCCTGCAGAGCCAGGAGCGCGCTGACCCGGGTTTGGGAGCAGGATCTTGCAGGATCCTGCAGGATCCTGCAAAGCCTGACTGACCCAGATTGGGGTTGACCGGGGTCAGTAGATCCCCGAATTGCTCCGGAGCGCGCCGTGGTCATCGGCAGTCGTGCGTGCTACCCAGGGGGTTGGGGAAGATTATGTGTGCTGGCGATGGCTTTCAAGGTGCAGACGGCTATACAGTCCTTGTGGCGTTTGTCCTTCGTGGCGCGCGTCTGACCCATCACTGTGCTATCTTCAAACAGCAGGCTGACGACGCGGCTGGGTGCGGTGTATCCACGGTTTGGCGTTCGCAGTAGCTCCCTCTTCGCTGGCCCCATCGAGCGTGCAATCAAATCGGTACCCAAGGGGTCATTGAACCTAACTTGTTCGTTTATCAGCTGGAGATGCGATGCTACTTTGTTGTCAACTGAGGGGTGATGAGGATATGGCACTGTCGTTGTGACTTGGCGGATGCCATGATGACGACGGTTCGTGGATGCATTCAAGCAGAAAGCTTGAATAGATAGGACTTGACTGTTAGTAAATTCAGCCGATGTCGTTGCACAATGATTCGGGACACGTCGTCTCGTCGCGCTACGTCGCTTCGGAAATGCCGACGGCCTCACTGCGGGGGGTCTTAGTCGCGGGATGCTCCCAGCTTTTCGGCTGAACGAGACCTTTCAGCTTCTGTTGGCCAAGACCTCGTATGTCACTAGTCACTGCGCAGTGCGTTGACAGCGCGCGTTTCGTTTAAAGTTATGCTAGCTCTGGGCCACCTCTCGAGCATCGTCGTGGTGGAGACGTGGGGCCTCGCGGCTCAGTGACCAGAGTCGAAACGATGGATGCGGGCCTGCCTGGAACAGTCTGACATCGTTGTGAAGAAATTGCCCACCCAAAACGAGGAGTGGACTTCCCAGCGACAGATCGGCCCCTGAAAATTCAAAAGCAATGCGCGATTGGCCCAGGAGCAGTTGAAAGCATTCACGTTGGCTCCAGATGAGCCTTTGGTTCCGCATGTGCCTCCCTGCTTTTTTGTCCCGCCCTGGCCTGCAGTTGGGTGCTTGTGTGCTCAGGTGTGCACGATTGGTTCGCACCGTGGTCAGTTAGCAGTACCATCATGGGGCATTCGGCTTGGGATTGCATGCTGCTCTTGAGACAACGAGAGCTGGCCGCTTTGTTGTATGAACCGTTGTGTTCCGTTCTTAACGCAACACGTACCGTGTTCAAAATGTCCGTATCAACACGTTGCGTGTTGGTTCAACGTGTGGGTACACATTTGGGCGAACGTATCGCGCCAGACTTACGTGTTCAGACTACGAGTTGAGCTCCGTGACAACACGCCACGAGTTGCGTGTTGCGTATCGGGGCAGCCGAGAAATTTTGGGAGAGCAGGTGAGCTTTCAAGTGATCATGCACGCCGGTTCACTGCTTTGGCCCTGGGGCTCTCGGTACTCATATTGTTATGCTCGCGACACCGTGGCCCCGTGTGGTCCAGGCTACTTGGTGCCCTAGTGTGTCGTTGAGGTATATTCGTGTGTGTACAAATATGCAATCGTACTCCATCTGGGCTCGTATGCGTTTGCACTGGGTGGTGTTGGTTGCGTTTTGAACCGCGTCTGCTCTTCGTGAAGGCGACCATTCGTAGTCGAATCACCCCTGTCCATCTCTGGTGATTCGCTTCTTGTTTGTGGCAGATATTATAGGGTGGTGATGGTACGCTGGGGCGCCCTGTACCGGCCGTCGGCGCGGTCATCCTTTCAAAGCGGAGTGCAACATGCCAAACCATCAGCCTCGAGTCTGGGTGCTCGCTTCAGAGGCACTCGCTCATTCGAAGGAGCTGCTTCCAGTTATTCGAACCTGATCCGCTGACGTGGGACATGCAGGTGTACTGCCAATCGTTGCACCCGCGCTGGCTGCCTCCGCTCGCGCCGTCACCATGCGAACCGTATAGTGGCGCATCGAGTGTCAAGTCATCGCCGTCCTCCACCTCCCCCCCCGGTTTGCTGAGGACGATGAAGCTGGGTGGCCTCGTGAAGTTTGACCACGACTCTGCCTCACGGCTGATGAAAATGGCGACGACGTGCTCCCCGCTCGCGTGCCACGCCCAGGTGTGCTAGCGTCCCAGGGGCCACTTTGGATGCTTCGGATGAGTTCGGATGGGTGGAGCCCACGGGCACGTCCACGAGACGGGATGCAGAGAGGGGGGGGGAAGCTTTACACAGGGCGTCCAGGACGGGCTCGAGCGTGGTCTCATGCGGGATTTGAAGGCGCGTTCTCCCTGTCCCCCGTTCCTCGAGGCCCTCCATCTGGAAAGCTCCTCCTCCGGGCTCTCTCTGCGCCGCCCCCCTCTCCCCCCCCTGTGGCGGTTGCACACCCAGACTGCTCGTCATGCCCACAGTGCTTGCCCAGATGGTGCTGCGTGCATAATCGCGCGAGCGCGGGTGGCTAAAAGCAGAGCCAGAGGCGCCCTTCATTCCACACGCAGTTGACGCTTGACTGGGTGTCTGCGCGCAGGTGGCGAAAGCGAATAATCACAAGAGCGCGCGAGTTTGGCATATTAGAACAAGTGTTGCACATGCTCTCCGTCGGCAATGAGCTATGGGGGAGATCAGGAGAGGACCCGCCAGCCTCCATTAGTCTTGCTCCAGCCGTCCCCCAAAGGATCGCTTTCGCATTTTACTTTGTGTGCTGTCACCGTTCTTTTCTACGTTCTTGGCCAGGCGTGTTCGGCGCTCATGGCGGCGCATCGTGTATAGTAGGAGGGGGCCGGCAGGAGAGCTTTGGCCGAGGCTGTAGCGAGCCTTATCAGCGGACCCCCGCTGAGGCGTGCAAGCTCACTTGTCGTGCGTCGGTCGCGAGGCTACTTGTGGACGCCCACCTGGCGACGAGCAGAATTCCACCCTCGAGGAGGAAGAGGAAGGGAAGGATGAGGAGCGCCAGGAGGGTGTGGTATGTCCACAGATCGCAAAAAGAGAAAACGCCACAAACATAAACTTTTGGCGCTCCGCGCGAATTTTTTGGATCCGCGCCAGGGGCCCCCGGCGCCGCCTCCGGCGCCGCCCCTGGCGCGCACCGCGCCCCAGGGAGGCGGGTCCAGCGCAGATCCAAGAAGTCCGCACAGAGCGCCAACGGTTTATGCTCATGCCGTCTTTTCCTCTTCTGCACAGAGGCTCCCAGGAGCTCCAGGATTAAGTCGGGCCTGTCCCTCTACAGGGCAATATTCAAAAATAGTTAAACAATAGTCAGGGGACTATGTTTGAGCATGTTTGGGCATCTCTTGGGTATTTTTTGAGTCTTTTCTGTTTTTCGTCGAAAATCTCCCTGTAGGGGGACGCGCCCGACTTAACAATAGAAAGCCGCCCCTCTTCGATCAACGCCTGCGAAGGCCGAGGTCAAGTCACATCAGGAGGGCGGTCGGCCGCGGCGCGCAGCGCTCCACCCTCCAGGATGAGGAGGGGGAGGAGGAGGAGGAGGAGGAGGAGGAGGAGGAGGAGGAGGAGGAAGACGAGAAGCACAAGGAGACGACGAGGACGAGGACGAGGAGGAGGAGGAGGAGAAGGAGGAGGACGAGAAGCACAAGGGGACGACGAGGACGAGGACGAGGAGGATGAAGAGGAGGAGGAGGAGGAGGAGGACGAGAAGCACAAGGAGACGACGAGGACGAGGACGAGGAGGAGGAGGAGCAGGAGGAGGCATGCCCGTGCACGGGCGCTCTGACGCTGCGGGTGAAGCTTCGCCCCCATGGCATGCCTACGAGGAGGAGGAGGAGCACAAGGAGGCCCGAGTCGGCACTCATAATCTGCCTCGACACGGGCGCTACAGCCATGGCACTCGAGTGCGCCCAGCGTAACACAAGAGGCAGAGGGAGGGTGGGGGGCACGGGGCCTTCCATCGAAGAAGAACAAATCATATAAGCATAAGCTTGCGGCGCTCCGCGTGGATCTCTTGGATCCGCGTCGGGGCCCCCTGGCGGCGCCTGCGGCGCCGCCCCTGGCGCGCTCCGCGCGCCAGTGAAGGAGGTCCAGCGCAGACCCAGGAAATCTGCGCGGAGCGCCAATAATTTATGTTGATGCGATGTGTTCTTCTTCTGTTCCAGGCGATGGAGAACCTCAGGGAGAAGGAGGCCTCGCTCCGGCGGCCGGCCCACTACGAGCCCCTGGAGCCCCCCGCCAGGTGCGTGATGGTCGAGGTGGCCGCCTGCTCCGCCGCCGAGGACGACGGTGTCTATGCAGTCAAAATGGGCCTCAAGGATAAGCTTAAGTCGGGCACGTCCCTCTACAGGAGGAATATTCGAAGATGGGTTAAAAAGTAGTCAGGGGATGGTTGTTTGAATATGTTTGGGTATTCTTTGTATATTATTGAATATTCTTGTTTTTCGTGCAAAGGCCGCCTGTAGGGGGACATGCCCGACCTAACTCGAGGATAAGTCTTTGAAACAAGGTCCCCTTGCATTCTTCCGTTCTGGGCATGCTTGTTGCGTCCCACCGGTACCCCTGCCTTCGCAAGTTCTGGCCGCTTTCCATCCTTGCACTCCTTATACCATCCTTGTGGTTGGTTCTGACTTCGGGTAGTGGCGATGGCAAAAGTGGTCCAGATTTGCGGCGTCGAGAAGCGAGACAAGGTCGCGAGGAACCACGTCGGGACCCCTCGACCCCGTCTTTGTGCGCCAATTCTCACGCCGGACCGGCCCATGACGGCCCCGTGGCAAGGAACGGGGCGAGGCTTCCGTCGTAATTGTTTCTCGACACCCAGGTGTCAAGGACAGCGGTGGTAAAGGTTCGAAGATGGAGGAGGAGTGAGGATCGAGAATCGAGGGATCGAGGCTTCCACGATCGAGAGATCGACGATCGAGGGATTGAGGATCGAAGGATCGAGGTTTCGAGATGGGGTGGGAGGATCGCGCCGCATAGTCAGTACATCGGCTATGTGGCTCGATTCGAAGCTTGATTGCTCTGCGCCAACGTCGCCGATGCATCGGTGATCCATTTCGAGGTGTGGAAAACCACCCCGACCCCCTTATTTGGCGTTGACTAACGGCCCTGGGCGTTTACTAAACAGTCCTGCCATGTTCGATTCCTTGCCTTGGGTGCGTTTACTAAACGGCTTCGCTAGACGGGGTGCTTCTTATAGGGGGTGGCTTTTCAGGTCTCTGGCATCGGCGATGCGGCGCTGCCCTCCGACGCCCCCCTCTGATCGGACTCCATGTGGGCGGCCTGGAGCCATCGAAGCCTTGATCCTCTGATGTCTTCGGCCCAGCGCTACTCGATCTTTCAGCCTCCTCGATCCCTGACCCTCAGTCCTGGTGAGGCTTCGGGCTGCGCACAGATAGCCCCCCGGGCTTAGTGGGTCCTGGAAACGACAGGGCCGTTTTTTTTCCGGTTCCGTTTTGCCGTTTTTGTTGCCGCTTCCGACGCCTTTTTTTTTCCGGTTCCGTCGCCGTTTTTTGCCCGGTTCCGGCTCCGGGTCCAACCTTGGAGCCCCTTTTGTTCGCCGTTTCCAGTCGCCGTTTGTGTGCCGTTTCCATTTTCAAGGGGCCTTTGTTCGGAAGCGGTGAACAAAAACGGCCCTGCCGTTTCCGGGGCCCACAAAGCCCTGGCTGGCCTCGACAAGTCCCCCGAAAACGTCCGGGGCGGTCTCAGCACCCCAACCCTATATGGGGCGTGGAGCGCCCCCGGGGCGCCGCTGGAGGCGGCCGGGCCACCCATGGGGGGGCCTGTTGGCGCCAGCGGCGACCACCTCGAGGGTGCTGTCTGTGCGCAGCTCGAGGCCTCTCCACTCGGCCCTCTCCTCGATCTCCGAAGCTCAGCCACTGCTGTCCCCCGACGCCTGAGCGACGCGGTGAGAAGCCGGGGTCGTCTTCTCGGACATTTTTTGCGCGAAGACTGCCCGCGTCGGGTCGCGCGTAAGTGTCCTCCTCTCCACGCGGTGTGCCACGCTGGCGGCCGCGAATGCCACAGCATAAGGTCGCTATGTCTTCTCGCGTAATTGAGATCCTTTCCTTTTCGTCGCTTACGATGATGATGTGTGATGATGTCTTCATGATGTGTTCGTCGTGAGCGCTAGGCCTGGGCCTCTGGCGTGTCTTTGGTGGCTCTCTGGGATACCCTTGGTGACAAGCGGGTGCACTGCGGCGACGGCAGCGATGGCGGCAGCAGCAGCCGACGGCTGCGACGGCGGCCGTGCCCTCGTGGCCTGGCCGAGCTTTGCGCAGCGTCCCCCCCTCGGCGCGGCTCCCTCACCCAAGGGCGCGGGAGGAGGGAGGAAGGGAGTGAGGGAGGGAGGGAGGGAGGGAGTCGCTGCTCGCTGCTCTTCCTGCGCCGCTGCTCGTTTCTGTCCCACTCCCAGCCCGTCCCCCTCTCTTCCCCTCTTCCTCCCCCCCACTCCTTGCCTCGGGCGGGCGCGCGCGCGCGCGCCTAAGTGGGGGGTATGGTGGCTCACGCACGCACGCACGCACACACGCACGCACAGAGACACAGAGACACAGACATTAGCACAGACACAGACACAGACACAGACACGGACACAGACACAGACACAGACACAGACACGGACACGGACACAGACACAGACACAGACACAGGCACAGGCACAGGCACAGACACAGACACAAACACACGCCCACGCCCACGCCCACGCCCACACCCACACTCACACCCACGCCCACGCCCACACCCACACCGACACCCACACCCACACCCACACCCACACCAACACCCACACCCACACCCACACCCACACCCGCACGCACGCACGCACGCACACGCGCGCACACACACAACGCAACACAACACAACACAACACAACACAACACAACACAGCACAGCACAACACAACACAACACAACACAACACAACACAACACAACACAACACAACACAAACACAAACACAAACACAAACACAATCACAAACACAAACACAAACACACACACACACAAACACACACAGACACACACACACACACACACACTGACACACACACACACTGACGCCGCGCGCCCGTCTCCTCCTCGCCCGTCTCCTCCCCCTTCCTGCTCTCTCTTCCCTCGTCCCTCCTCCTCGTCAGGTTGTTTCTTTGGGGGGTGCGCCCTGCCGCGGGTACCCCGGGGCGCTGCCGCCCCCCCCCCCGCCCCGGGGTGCCGCAGCCAGCCCTCCTGACCGGTGCACCCTCCTGGTCATGCGGTGCCATGGACTCAGGGGCAACGATAGGGGGGGCTAGGCATAGGGGGGGATGCATCGACCCCCAATCGCCCACTGACTGCCGATAGGGTTCCGATAGCCCCAAGCTGCCCAGGAAAGTGCGGATTCACTATCGGAGGCCTATGGTCGATCTGTCGGCGATGTATCGCCGATTCCAGGTCGATGCATCCCCCATATGCCAGTCCCTCCCTATTGTTGCCCCTCAGGGACATCCGGCGGATGCGCCTCGCCCCAGCGGGCCTTCCATCCTGAGACGGGTCTGGCGCCGGGGCCGCGGACTCGGATCAGGAGGGAGGGATGAGGAAAAGGAGGAGGAGGAGGCGGTGGAGGACCAGAGCAGGCCAAGATGTATCAGTCATGCTGCAATGCACCCTCCCGTCCAGACTCCCCTTGTCGCACGCCCCTACAAGGTTCTCCTTGTCAACTACAAGCGGCGCCCCCTCTGAAAGACCAACATACTTGGGCCCGCCACGGTGGCGAGGGCAACCCTTCGAAAAAAAATCGCCCTGGATGTGTCTGGCGCAAAATTAGGAACGCGAAGGCCATTGGTCATACAGTGGGGACCCATGCAAAGAAACACCCTGCTTGCCTCCAGGGTGCCCTGGGTTTCTGTTGGGTTTCGATGGTTTTGCTATGAAGAGCGTGACGTTCTACACCAAACAACAGTGGGCGTCCTGGGGGTCTCAAGGTTGGGTTTCTTGTGAAAGGTTTCTTGTGGACTGGTCTCCACTGTATAGTTCAGCGGGGTGTCCAGCAATATCCCACTGCCGAAAAAGGACCGCCCACCATCCACGCAGCTGTTGTGCAAATGTGCTCTCGTGGTATGGAGCTTCGGCGGAGTTTCAGGCGGCAGCCCTCTGCCGAAGGAGAGAGCCGCCCTGGATCCGCGCAGGGCTACATTCATGTAGGTTCAATTCGTTTTCAATGATCGGGTCATGAGGGAGATCCATTTTGCCAAGGGCACGTTTCTCCTCCTCCCCCACCTCCTCCCCCACCTCCTCCTCCTCCTCCTCCTCCCACTCCTCCTCCTCCTCCTCCTTCTCCTCCCCCTCCTCCTCCTCGCTCCTCCCCCTCCTCCCCAACCTCCGCCTGCTCCTCGTCCTGCCAAACGTAGCTTTAAAGCATCAGGGGCAGAAAGGAGTGCGCGCGGCGGTGGGGCGAGAGCCCCGTCCGACTGGAAACAGCCGGTGCTCACTCGTTGACGACGACAAGGAGGACGATAAGGAGGAGGAGGGCTTGGAGGCAGGGAGGGAGGGCGAAGGCTGGGAGGAGGACGAGGAGGGACGGCGCGGGGGAGGGAAGGGGCGTGTTTTTGAACGTCTCGGGTGAGGCTCGAACGCCCCCGGCTCCCGCTTGGGCAGAGGAGATGGACGAGGAGGGAGGGCTCGGGCGAGAGCACCAAATGGAGCGTTCCAAAAAGGGCCTTGCCTTCGAGCATGCAAGGAGTGGCCATCTCTTCCGCAGTGGAAGGCGACGGACGGCGGCGGAAGTAAAGCGAGGGCGGCTCCGCCGGCGGAAGCAGAAGTCGACCCCCAAGAGATGATAACAGCTTTTGGTTCAGGGTTTCCGGAATCGGCCAAATGGTGGCGGCTGGCTCCGTCAGGTTCGAAGTATTTGATGTTGCGGAGTTGCTTTGGCCCCCAACCCTTATGTAGGGCACGTCGTGGAGATACGTGGTGCGTTTCAGGTTGTGTAGGTTGGGGGCAGTGGGGCGGACGAGGAGGAGGAGGAGGAGGAGGAGGAGGAGGAGGAGGAGGAGGAGGAGGAGGGTTTTCGGACGGGCTGTGTGATGTTCGGGCGTCTTCGGGCGAGCCCCAGATGCTCACAGAAAATTTCCTGGATGCTCTGGATATCCGCAGAAGCAAAGGGCAGGAATGCCCACGAGGACAAGAATAATACAGAGGAGGGGGTAGGAACCGAGCGGGAGGGAGGAAAAGAGGGGGAGGGAAGGAGGTTGAGGAGGGGAAGGAGATGATGAGAAGGAGAAACAAAAACATGATGAAGAGGCGCAGGAGGGAAAAGTTGGGTGGGAGGGCGGAGGGGGGGATGAGGGAGGAGGGATGGGGGGAGGAAGGAGGCGGAGTAGGAGTATAAGCGGGAAGAGGAGGGGTGGAGGGATGAGACAAGAGGAAGGGGTATTGAGGAGGAGAAAGTGGAGAAGGAGGAACAAGAGGGTGGGAGTGAGGGAGAGAGGAGGAGAGAAGCTGGGAGACACCCCTCCCATAATATGTACCTGTTTGCGCATGCGGCCATCTACTTAGCATTGCACCGCAGATCGAAACACCATACAGGCACGGTGTACTCAGGATGCGTTTCCTTCGTTGGCACATACGCGCGTTTACATGGGGGTGTTTGGCCTCTTGGGGTCCTCTTGAAATTTTCATGGGGCCATCGCCGCTTGGTCGCGCCCCTGCGCATGGGGATGTTCAGGAAACTTGGGGCGGTCCAGGTGTGATGTTCGGCGGCGTGTGCCATATGGTATACACTTGAAGTGGGACAGGGGAGGAGAGACAAGCGACGGGAGACAGGCCGGAAGACGCCACGAGACACAAGCAGCGCAGCATTGCAAGAACCACTTCGCTGCCTGGTGTCCCAGAGGAGGGTGGCGGAGCGTGCCATGTTTCTGGTGCCCCCCACTGTGAACTCGCAAGTGTCAACCGACGTTGTGAGGAGGAGAAGCGGGACCCATGGGAAGCGAGATGGTACATTTCATCAAGTGGCCTTCCGCCCATCCTGCTACCGTGCCTGGGTTGTGGATATGAAGCCTATTGGATGTTCGCTGGGATCCCGTGGGAGGCCTCTCGGGGGCCTCTAGGAGGCAGTTTGGAGGCCTCCTGGGGGCTCTTCGGGGGCCTCTTGGGGCCTCTTGGGTGAGCCTCCTGGGGCCTCTTGGGGGCCTCCTGGGGCCTTCCAGGCGCCTTCTGGGGTCTCCTGGGGGCCTCCTGTGGCGGAAGTCTCGGATTTTCGGTTCGTCTTCCCTCTCTTGGGCCCCTTAGGTGGCCGTCTCGGGGCCCTCTTGGGCCGTCTTGGGCGCCTCTTGGGCGTTCTTGGCACGCTGTGAGGCCGTCTTGGGGCCCTCGTGTAGGCCTCATGGTCCGTTTTGGGGTGGTCTTTGGGGCCTCTTGGGCCGTATTGGAGCGTCGAAAAGCCGACAAGGCGAGAAGGCCAACATCCTTCAGACGCCTTAGAGAAATAATCAATGTTTGCATCTTGGGGCCCTCTTGGGGGGCCTCTTGGAGGCCTCTTGGGGCGTCTTGGAGGCCTCTTGTGCTATCTGTGGGCCATCTTGGGCGTCTTGGGCCGACCTTTCGGCGACTCGGGGCCCTCTTGGGCCGTCTTCGAGGCTTCTTGGGGCCCTCTGGGCCCGTCTTGGGGCCCCCTTGGGCCCGAGCAAGTCACTTGCCACCACTTGGCAAAGCCACAAGATTTCGGACATTTGGATCCGGGTCCCGAACTGACTCCTCAGGACTGAAGACTGGGGCTCAGGAGATTTGGCACAGGACCTGAGGACAGGCACACTCCGTGCCCAGCGTCACGGTGGCGGATCAAAGCATCCATGACGGTGGGCGGGGTGACGGGGGGATGGCGAGAGAGTTCCAGCAGTATGGCGACTACAGAAGCACGCTTGCATCTCCACTGTGCCCCACTCCAGCCCCATAACCGTGCAGTGCTCTGGTGGGAAGAAGTGGGCATGCATGGCTGATTTCGTGTGTGTCTGTGCCGTTCTGTCTCAGCCGGAGGGCCATCGACGATTAGACGCTTGTTGTTGCATGCTCCCCGCGGTTATGAAAGCGCGCCGGTGGAGGTGCAAGATGCGAGGAGTCCACGATACTGGGCGCCTCCCTCGGCATCTACTAGTGTTCGTTGCATCAGGGCCGAGAAAGGTCAGATACCGCCTTCATTCACGACGCAGCCAGCATGGGCATATTGTTGAAATTCGTGCGGTCTTTTTGCTGGGTCTGCAATGCCCCATGCACTTGCTCATGGATCTTGGATCTTGCGGTTGTTTGCTCGCCGATCGCCTCCGCCAGTTAGAAGGTGTTGCAAGGATGTGCTACGCTGTTGATCAGTTGGTGACCTTCGCTTCTCCTGCGCATGTTGCTGCGTGCCGTGTGCCGCGCTGTAGTGTATGAGGTGTTTGCGGTTGTGTGCCATGTGCGCGGTATTTTGTGCGCGGCGTTCTGTGAGGTGCGCCGTGCTCGGTGCCATGCGTGCGACGCTGTATGCGCACAGCATGCACTAGCTGTTCAGCGTATGTCACGAGTGCGTGATCTGTAAACGTTGCTTTCACTGCGGGGTGTTTTGTATTAATGGGTCCCAGCGAAGGCGGCGCGCGTTGGCCATAGCTGCTATGCGGTCGGCAGAGATTTTGCCGCAGAGATGTCGTTCGCTCGCTGGGCACCCCCCAGGAGGCAAACACGTGGCCCAACCCTATGTGAAGTCAACGATGTTGGGCTTTTCTCCGAGGCCTCTTGGGGCGTCTTGGGTGCCTCTGCGGGGCCTTTTGGGGCGTCTTGAGGGTCTCTTGGGAGCCTCTTCGGGCATCTTGGGCGCTTCTTGGGGGCCTCTTCGGGCCTCCTGGGCACATTTTGGGGCCCTCTTGGGGCACCCTTGCATATTGGGGCCATCTTGAAGGAGATCGGTCCAAGGAGGGGTTCTCCTTAATCAGGCCCCCTGAGACCAACATGTGTTGGCCTTGTCGCCGAGGCCTTTGGGGGCGTCTTGGGTGCCTCTGGGGGGGGGGCTCTTGGGCCGTAGTGGGGGTCTCTTTGGAGCCTCTTGGGCGCATCTTGGGGCCTCATGGGGGCCTCTTGGGGCCGCCTGGGCACTTCTTGAGGCCCTCTTGGGAGCCTTGGGGAGCATCTTGGGGCCATCTTGGAGGAGATCGATCAAATCAGGGAAGCTCCATAATTTGGCCCCCATCAGGAGGCCAACATGTGGCCACAACCTCAGTGACATCAATGGTTTTGGCTTCCTCGCCGAGGCCATCTTGGACGCCCCGACGTTTCGCGAAACGCCCCCTCCAAACCCAGGGGGAGGGGGGAGGGGGAGGGGTCAAGCTACCCGCCCGCCCGCCGTAAGCCGTCTAGCTCACTCCCACCCGCCCTCCTTACACATAAGTAACACCCGAGCCTCAGCATGTTCAGCGGTCGTCTTTAGATGGACAGCTACTGGGAACCAAAGCCGATCCCAGGTGCGCGACGCTGGGGCGAGGTGCGCCACGCGTGCCAGGGGCGCCACGCGCGCCAGGCACCCCTGGGGCCCGAGCGTGCCAGGTACGTCCGGTGCGCCAGATGCGCCACGTGCGCCAGGTGTGCCGCACACTCCAGCCGCGCCAGATGCGCCGCGTTCGGGGCACGTGCAGAGTGCGTCAGGTGCGCCTGCGCACGTGATAGCGCACATCGGGGGAGATGTCGGCCCCCGCCATCTTGGTCGAAAACCCATGCCCATCATTGTGTCTGGTGGGCCTGCGCACAGCAGGCCATGCGCCACCACCCCCGCCGTCCCTGTCAAAAACCACTTGACAGTGATCGCGGAATGGCCGCGCATGATCCATATTTAGCCGCGAGGTGTATCTTGTATTGTTTCTTTGTCAGGGATGGTAGCCCTGCGCACAGCAGGGAATATGCTGACACACCCGCCGTCCTTGTCAAAAACAATACAAAGTGCTCGCTGGCCTCACGAACACGACTCAAGAATTGGCCCCAAAGTGTATATTTTGCATTGTTTTTGTTGACGGATGGTGGGGGGTGGGGCCGCATCAAGTTGGCCGCGCATGCTCCAAATTTGGAGGCAGAGTGAGTTTTGTATTATTTTTGACAGTGATGGTGAGGGGCGGGTCGTCAGGGTATCCTCATGGTGTCGGCATGGTGCCTGGTTGGCCCCCGGTCGCCTGGGGGAGGGGGTGCTTTAGTAAGGAACAGTGCTCAACCTCTCCCCGAAGGGAACGAAGGGGGTCTGGAAGAAGAATCCCTCTGAACCACTCACGCCCTGAAGGGCTGGTGGGATTCGCGCGCATGCCCCGCGATGGAAGCCTCGAGAGTGGACCGCTTGAGCATGCGTGCGCTAAGCCATTTCGGTGTGCCCTGCTTGGGCCTGTCGCGCGCCGCCCTGCCCCTGGGGCAACTGACATCAAGTGCGATCCCTTCCCAGATCCAAGCCGCGAGGGCTCTGGAGGCAATCGTTCTGATTGAAAGGCAGTTTGTGCGTCCCACGGCGCGTACAACCTGGCAGGAGCTCCGCTGTGCGAGCGGCGTTCTGTCGTTCAAGACTTGGCGCAGACATTCGCTCGTTCAGTACAGTGCAGGACACGTGCATGATGCCAGAAAAAGTGAACAGCGGGTTCTGCCCGCATTTTCGGGCAGCGGTGCTGCAATACCCACTGCAGTGTCCATTGGAAAGGCCCATCACTGCAGGTCAGTCCGGTGCGTGTACGAACCCAGTCCAAACGTTCGTGAACGGCGAAACGCGCACGCATTCTTTGTATCCGGATGGTTCTGTGGAAGGCATTTCGTGCTTGGAAATACAGGTGTCTTGGAATAGCCATGTCCTGTTTTGCCTTGTAGTTGAAAACGCATGTTTCTGGTACATGGTTCGTCGATTCTATGTTTTTGCATATCGGCCTTTCTGTGGGCCCGCCGAACAGCACCAGCCTCCCATGCACTCGCAAGTACGTTTCTAGCGTTTCTAGAGTGCACTAGCGTGCGCTAGCGCCTGGTTGTCGACGAGAGAGCGCAGACTTAGCGCCAATGTAGCGTAGACTAACGTGATTGCCGAGAGCCAGCAAGAGCCAGCAAGATGGCATGGGAGGCTCCCATTGGTTGCCACGGAGGCCTCGTTCGGGCATCAACGACAGCGGCCCCCTGCCGTGAAGGCGTGTGGGCGTGTGTGTGTGCACACCGGTTCTGGGTGGGGCCCCTTGCCGTCCTGCTTCTGGTCGGCCGGGGCCTGTCCCGCATTGCATGGGTGCCTTGCCTCGCCACTGACCCGTGCGGGCCCGGCAATCTCGCTTCCCTTTCCTCACATGGCCAGCGCGCCCGCGCCTGCGGTCTCTTTCGAACGGCTTGAACCTCGTCTCGGCCCGCGACGCTCAAGTTCGGCGGCGAGCGAGGGGGTGGAAGTGAGACAGAGGAGGCTTTCTCAGAAGGCGGAGGGGCTTCTCAGAAGCCTTCCGGCCTACAGAGAAGTTGTCTGTGCCCTCGGGGAAGTTTAGAAACCTTTTCGGAAGGTCGGGGAGCTCCGAGCCTTCTCATCTAGGCCACCCTAGATAGGGTCCGAGTAGATGGGGTCGGAGGATCGAGCCGCATCGCCGATGCATCGGCGATGCGGCTCGATGTAGAGCCCGATTCGCTTCACGTCGACGTTGCCACTGCATCGTCGGCGTCGACGATGCACCGCCAGTGCATCGCCGATGCATCGCCGATGCATCGTCGATGTGTCGGCGATGCGGCGCGATCGTCCGACCGCATCTACTCCGACCCCATCTAGGAGGCCCCTTATCTCAGAAGGCCCGCCCCTTCTCTCAAGCAGTGGCGAAGCGTCCTGGCGTGCCTACAGGCCTACCAAACAATAGTCTAAGAACATTTTTTGGTTTCGAAGAAATGTTCTTAGAACATGTCTGGTTGAGTTTGTTTTGCTTTACCACATCGGGCTTGCGTTCTACGAACAGTGCTTCTGTTCTTAGAACATGTTGGGGTGTTAAGAACATGTCGTGGTAGGACCATAGGCATGCCCGCACGGTCGGTCCCTGCTCACTTCTCACCCCCCCCCCGCGGTCGCCGCCGGTGGAGGCCTGGCCCGGCCCGCGGCGCTCGAGCCTGCGTGCGCGCCTCTGCGCCGGGGCCCCGCCTCTGCTCGCCGCAGGGCCTGAGCCCCGCCGGCCCGTGGGGCGCGCCTCGGCCCCGCCGCGCCCCCCTCCCGGCGCCCCAGGCCGACGACGATTTCTCGATCTTCGCGGGGTCCCTGGCATCGTTCGGACGTGTGGATTTTTTTCCTTCGCCGAGGACCATCGAGGAGCATCCTTGATCATTTGACGGAAACACCATGCACGAAACCGAAAAAGGCACAGGGAATGGACGTCCGAGCGATGGCCAGGGTCCCCAAACGGGGTGGTGACCGCGCCGCGTGGTGAGTCGGTAGGGAGTCGGGATCCCCGCACGGTTTCGGGACCCGGGTCGTGCTCCGAGGACGTCTCGGGCGATTGGGGCATCCGAGGTCCCGAAGCCGTGCGTTGACGGACCGTGCGGTGAGGTCTTGGGGGATTTCGAGGTCACCGCACGGTCTGTCGCCTCACCGTTTCGGATTTCCAAAGATCTTTCCGAGCCTCGGGCGTACAGTTGACCCGCACAGTAAGGATGGGCGACCTTCCCAAGGGTGCCCAATCCTGGGCAACTTTTGCTGGCCGCGCCCCGCTCGAGAAGCTTCGAGATGGGCGTCCGAGGCCCTTGCATCCTGATCGCGCGTCCTGATGATACGGGCCGACTGCAGTTGCTCTTGAACATCGGCGGCGCGCGAGGGGGCGGCAGGGAGGAGGGGAAGGCCTTCTCAGAAGGCGGCGGGCCGCCTCAGAAGCCCTCGGGCCCTCCGACGAGTGTTCTGTGTCTTCGGGTTATGATGTTCCATCCGACTTTAGCCGTGATCACCAGAAAGAATTTCGAGCACCAGAAAAAATACCCAAACTCGAGGGTGTTCACGTGTCGGGCCCTGGGAGGCACTCGCCCGACACTGTTTCGACACTCTTTCGCAACTTTTCCGGGTGCTCGAAATTATTTCTGGGATGTGGTCCTTCAGTACGATGGGAGCAACATAGTCTCGGGCGCAGTTTCTCTTGAAGACCGCTGGGAGCGTTTTTGTTCTCCGAGCTTTTGCTTCGCTGTTGAGCCGAGCAAGCGGTTTTCGAAACATCGGCGCCCTGGCAAGTGGACGTCAGGCCGGCGGCACCGCGACACCTCGAAGCGCATGGTACAAGCAACGGGCCGATCGCGGGAAGAGAACGAGCAGGTGGGCCGCGGGCCGATCGCGGATTGGAAGGCGCGACGAGAGAAAAACGGCGCCCTAAGCGGAAAGAGCATGCCGCTCCCAGCCGCTGTATCTGACCAGACGATCCTGCGAGGCTCCGAGAGGCCCACGGACCTCTCGTCTTTCTCCAGGGGGCCAGCTCTTCGTCCCGAGGGTTGCCTCTGACGGCCTGGGGGCTCCAGAGCCGGCCTCCGGAGGCCGAAGCTGCAGAACAAGTGCGGCCTCGATCTCAAACGCCCGGAGTGGATACGGACAAAAGGTTCAAGCAGTGGCGAACCGTCCTGGCTCGCCTATAGTCCTACCAAACAATGTTCTAAGAGCCTTTTGTGGTTCCCACGAAATGTTCTTTGAACATTTCTGGTTGGGACTGTCTTGTTTTATCACACTGGGTTTATGTTCTAAGAACATTGTTTTCGTTCTTGGAACATTTGTGAGTTCTGAGAGCATTTCGTGGTGGGACTATAGGAATGCCTGGACGGTCGGTCCTGCTCAAAAGATGTACAATGCCCAACAGCAAGTGTTGTCCTAAACCGACAGGCCGATGTTGGGCAGGCGGCTTCTCTTGTCTTCAGGGAGCAGCGTCCGCGGCGGCGCAGACCGCGAGCGTCTTGCTCAGGACGGGCAGGAACCGCTGCTGGGCATCGTGCCCAGTCTCTCCGTACCCACGCCGACGTTCGATCGCGGTACTTCGCCGGGCGAGGCGGAGGCACGGGCCTCCGTCGCTCGATATGGGCGCCCGCCGGGCGAGGCGGAGGCATGGGCCTCCGCCGCTCGATGCCTGCCGAGAGCAGCCCGTGTTCAGCGGCTGCTTGGCCCAGCCGCGAAACAGGCCCAGAGGCACAGGAGGAGGGGGAGGAGGAGGAGGGGGAGGAGGAGGAGGAGGAGGAGGAGGAGGAGGAGAGGAGGAGGAGGAGGAGGAGGAGGAGGAGGAGGAGGAGGAGGAGGAGGAGGAGAGGAGGAGGAGGGCGGGGGAGGAGCAGAGGATCTCTTGAGGCCCCCCCGTGACGGGTTGGCAGCCCAGAGGCAGTACTAACCTCCGAGATCTTGGGGGCTTGGGGGACCGGGCGCCCAGGCGCCGCCCATCACCAGCAACGTGCTCAACAACTCCCGCGCCTTCCGCGCGTCGCTCGGCGCCGAGTTCGGGGACCGCCCCCTGGCCGAGGCGGCATCGCCGCGGCCCCCGAGGCATGGTCCAATCCCTCCTCCTCCTCCTCTCCTCCCCTCCTCCCCCTCCTCCTCCTCCTCCTCCTCCTCATTCTCGTTCCCCTCCTCCTCCTCATCCTTCCTCCAGTCCTCTTCCTCCTCGTCCTCCTCCAATCCTCCACCTCCAGTCTTCCTCGAACCCTCCTCCTCGAATCCTCCTCCTCCTCCTCCTCCTCCTCCTCCTCCTCCTCCTCCTCCTCCTCCTCCTCCTCCCCTCGTCCTCCTCCTCTTCCTCCTCCTCTCCTCCTCCACCTTTTCCTCTTCGTCACACGATTATGTCACCCCAAGTCCCCGAACACCCTCGCCCTTACACAAAACGATTGGCCGTTCAGAACAAATAAGATACAGAAACCACTGGGAACAAATCCGAGGGGGGGGGCTGCTGGGACGCACCCCTGTCGAGGATACCCCCCCGTCGTTCTGTCTCCGAGTTTGGCCCCAAGCTTTGAGAGTCCACTCGGAAAGCCGCAAAGTGGGGGATTTGGGGGGTCGCCACGCGCCCCGATGCCTCGAGAGGGGGGCGGCGTTCGGAAGGGCGCGGGGCCGAGGCGGGGGCGCCACTGTTCCACGAGCCCAACCCCGCCTCTGAGGAACCCTCCTGCCTGTCCGGGGAGCCTTCTGGAGAGCCCTGCGGGCCCCTGGGCAGGAAGCACCCCTGGCCTCTTGTGCACCGATACGCCGGTCAGGAAAGCAGAAGCATACGCGTTCGTGTAGTCCAGATCTCGTTTCACTGAATCAAGAAGCTGGACTGGACCCTGGGCGTTTTCTGCGAGCTTCCGCTCTTCGTCGAGTGTTCGTCTGGACCTGGACCCTGGACCACAGTCAAAGAACACGCGTGGAGTGACGTCCATGTTCTCTAGACCTTCTAGATGGGGGCGCAGTATACGGGGTCGGAGGATCGCGCCGCATCGCCGATGCATCGACGATGCGGCTCGATGTGGGGCCCGATTTTCTGCACACCTACGTCGCCGATGCATCGCCGACGTCGCCAGTACATAGCCGATGTATCGCCGACGTATCGGCGGTGCGGCGAGATCCTCCGACCCCGTCTACTCGGACCCCATCGAGGAGGCCTCCATGTTCTTATCCCACAGGTTTCAACTCCCAGCAGGGATGCATGTACTCCCCCCTCACCCCGGCCCCCTACTTGCGCGCCGCCAAGAGAGGTGTCAAGAACGACCCAGCGAGCAGGGCGTTCTCCCGGGAGAGTAAGAGAGAGAGAGCGAGAGAGAGAGAGAGAGTCCAGGCCTTCTAGACGGGGGCGGAGTAGATAGGGGTCGGAGGATCGCGCCGCATCGCCGATGCATCGGCGAGGCGGCTCGACGTGGGGCCCGATGTTCTGCACACCGACGTCGCCTATGCGTCGCCGACGTCGGCGATGCCTCGCCGACGCGTTTGCAAAGGCGGCGCGCTCTTCCGGCCCCGTCTGCTCGGGCCCCAATATGGGGGACCCCTGGAGAGAGGGCGGCCTCGGGATGCCCCCGGGGTCGGCCTCCGAAGGATGTCCCTCGCACGCCGGGGGCTCCCCCCACCCCGCTCAGCGGCTCGGTGCCAGGCGGCCCCATTGAGGGCGTCAGAGTCTGCGGGTCTGCGGGCAGGTCGGTCGGGGGCCCGAGCGAAGTGAACCCAGGCCTCCCCCGTCAGAAATCGTGGGGGGCAGGGGCGGTGTTCGCATGTGGCCCCCTCGTTGGTGCCGGGCGCTGGTTGGGACTCCGAGCTCCTCGTCGTCTCCTCGCGGTGGCGGTGAGCGGCAGCCAGGCTCGGCGGGCCTGAGGAGAGGCCGTGAGCAGAGCAGAGCCTTCGGCCGTCGTTTTTTTCTCAAGAAGACGAGGGTAGACAGAGGGAGGAGGAGCAGGATGAGGAGGAGGGAGTTTGAGGAGGAGGGGAGGAGGAGGAGGAGGACCAGTGTAAACCCAAGAGTCATCAACGGTGTTGGAATTAATCTTCCCTCCAAGCTCCCTCTTCACAGGCCCCCACAACGGTTCATTTCCATTGAGGGAACTGCCTCGTTTGAAGACAACCGATTGAAGATCCTGAAGCATGCCAGAACATTGCTCCTGGGATTCCAACGCCACGTATCAACCTGACTGCTGCGTCTTGACGATCCGGAATCGTACCATAACGCCATCTCCGGGATTTCAACACCGCGAATCAACATAACTGTTGCGCCCGAATAATCCTGAATCCTTCCAGAACGCCATTTTACGTCGATGATGGAAAACCGTGAAACTCTTACAATGTGTACAACGAATGTGCGCGGCGCTCAGGCGAGAGCTACATTTTGAAAACGACCCGCCCTCAATCCGTGAAACTCTTGCAGTGTTTAAAACGAATGTGCGCGGCGCTAAGGCGAGAGCCACATTGTGAAACGGACCCGCCCTCAATCCGTGACACTCTCGCAACTTTCTAAAACGAATGTGCGCGGTGCTAAGACGAGAGTCACATTATTTTGAAAACGACCCGCCGTCCATCTGTGGATCTGTTGTCATTGTTTAGGCTTCATAAGTAGAAATGGTGAGGAAGTCTCAGGCGAACCCCCCGGCCCGCCCTAAAAACTTGCCTCGGGATGCGACAGGGATAAGTTAACTATAAGTAGAAGGAATGGAGGAGGAGGAGGAAGAGGAGGAGGAGGAGGAAGGAGAGGGAGTGTGAAGAGAGAGGAGAAGGATGAGGAGGAGGAGGAAGAAGAAGAGGGAGTGTGAAGAGAGAGGAGGGGGAGGAGGAGGAGGGATGGAGGAGGAGGAGGAGGAGGATGCGGAGGAGGAGGAGAAGGAAAGGCAGGAGGAGTAGGAGGAGGAGGAGGAGGAGGAGATGGAGGAGGAGGAGGAGGAGGAGGAGGAGGAGGAGGAGGAGGAGGAGGAGGAGGATGGGTGGCACTGGAAAGTTTGGCGAAGGCGGGCAGAATGAGGATGGCGGTACCGATCATCCAGGTGTGCGGGCCCCTAGGCACCTCGCAGTAATGTGGCGGGCGCCGGGTGTGCGCGGCACGTAGCCAACCCTCGCAGTACCCATTTTTGTTCCTCTTCCTTTTCCTTTTTTCTTCTCAATCCTCCTCCTCCTCCTCCTCGTCGGCGGAGACGAGGCACTCTCGGAGACGGAGGCGCTCCTGAAGGCATGCTTCGAATGAGAAAGCTCTGCGAGAACTGAACGTTCGGAGCTCCGCGCGGATTTGTCGGAGCTTCGCTGGACCCCGGACCCCACCTTCAAGCGCTTCTGTTTATGCAGGTTGTTCTGTAACTCTGCGACTACAGTCGGGAGCTTCCGGTTACCGTGTCGCTCTGCCGGTTCTGGTCCACCACGCCTCGGCACGGCACGCTGACCACGCCCCGGTCCCCGGACCGTGGTCAACGTGCCGTGCCCTTAGCCTTGCTCAGCCTCCAGTCCCGCGGAGCGGAGCGACACCATCCGCTTGCAAGGCGGGAGGTCGTCGTCTTGCGGTCCTGTGTGGGCTGGGTTGGGACGTCCAGCTCGGTTCCCGTCGGTTCGGTTCGGGAGCCGCCCAGTTCCAGTTCGGTTCCGGTCCGGTTCCGGTTCTGCTTCGGTTTGGTTCCCCCTGGTTCGGTTCTGAGTGAATTCGGTTCGGTCCGGTTCGGTTTGTATTTTTCCTGTTTTGATTTGGTTCGGTCCGGTCCGGTCATGGTTCTCGGTTCTCCGTCCGGTCATGGTTCTCGGTTCTCGGTTCGGTTGGTCCCCTCATGCTGTACGGGAGCGGCTTGCGGAGGACATGTTGGCTCCTCCTGCGTGGCTGGCCGCGCTCGTGCAGCCGCTGCCGCGTGTGCCGCGCTCGTGCCGCCCGTGCCGCGTGCCAGCCGCTGGTCGGCCGCATTGGGCATCTCGCATCTCAGTCCGCAGTGTCTCTCCCGTCTCTCTCTCTCTCTCTCTCTCTCTTTCTCTCCCTTTCTCGTTCTCTCCCCCCTGTTCTCGTCTTCCTCGCCGGCCTGTTCTAGCATGGCGGAGTTCCCGTACCACGAGTCTTAAGCAGGGCATGTCCCTCAGCAGGAGGAGTATTCAAGAATCGTGACAAAAAATCGTCGGGTGCGATTTTTCGTGCTCTTTTGATTTTTGAGTACGTTTGGATATTTTTGGGGGTTCTTCGAAAATCCGCCTGTAGGAGGACATGCCCGACCTAACACTAGTCACGAGTTGGGAAGCTGGCAGCTTTCATCACCAGGAGAAGCAGATACTGTAACAAGAAATGGCACAAACATTCACGTTCGGAGGTCCGCGCGGATCTCTGAGATCGGCGCTGGGCCCCCCTCCCTGGCGCGCGGAGCGCGTCAGGGGCGGTGCCGGATGCCCCACCAGGTGGCTCTAGCGCCGATCTGAGAAATCCGCGCGCACGTCCGGGAATCTACGTGTCGCCGCGCCGTTTGTTCCGATGCGCAGTCTTGCGTCCGTGGGGGCGCGCCTCTGCCACCCAGGCCAACTCCGCCTCGGACGCAGGGTGCGTCGTGGGTTTCACCGCAGCGCCGACTTCGTCTACTTGGGCGCGCTCAGAAGAACTGGCGCGGCGACATGTCTCTGCCGGTCTGTGTTGTTTGAGGCAAGGAGGCCGGCCTCGCTCCCCGTCGGAGGCCCCCCGCCGCAGGGCTCAGACCGCTCGTGTGAAGTCGGCCACGTCCCCCCGCGGGGAGAGCATTCAAGAGCAGTGAGCAGAAATCGTCCGGGGACGACTTTTCGTCCTGCTCCGATTCTTTTTGGGAGCATCCGTTGATCCTGCCGTCTCCTTCCCAGATCCGCCTGCGGGAGGACGTGCGAGCGGCGGGGGGCGTGCGCTCGCGGCGGCGCAGGAGGAGGAGGAGGAGGAGGAGGAGAGGAGGAGGAGGAGGAGGAGGAGGAGGAGGAGGAGGAGGAGGAGGAGGAGGAGGAGGGAGGGGGGATGGAGGAGGAGGGAGGAGGAGGAGGAGGGGGAGGAGGAGAGGAGGTAGGAGGAGGAGGAGGAGGAGGGGAGGAGGAGGAGGGGGAGGAGGAGGAGGAGGAGGAGGAGGAGGAGGAGGAGGAGGAGGCGGAGGAGGAGTGGAGGAGGAGGAG